TTATCGATTTGTAACATCGGGAAACTCTCCGTCGAATTGGCCGCTGCTCGCCGTATTAATAAATCGGCCAAATCCAAAGTCTCCGAATGAGTAATACCGTTTTCCTATAAATAAAAATAGAATAAAAAAATTATCTCTAAACAGAATCATCTTGCAAATACTAGTTTAAGCATTTACCTTCGAAAAGCCGATCATTAGCAATCTCCACAATGTACTTTGCAACAAGGGAACATCGGAAACTAGTCGTATATAAAATACTCTGTCCGACTCTGGTGGCCAATTGTCCAATTTATAGTATTGTTCAGGAGATTCCAAGAGCATGATCTTATGCATTGCATGCAACAACTCATTTCGTCCAACGGTGTACATCTGCTGTGCTGAATTCTGTAGCCACAGGACAGTCTCGTATTGTATCATGGCCATGAGATCTTGAAATTGGTGCAGCAAAGCCGCATCTTTCTTATCTGCACGTTGCGACAATGTCCCTGCTTCCTTTACTTGTGGACTTATTCCTAAGAGCATGCACAGACACAGTAGATCCACTATTGACATAAACATGCGATCCTTAAATTCGAAATTTAGCAACTGTTGAGCTATGTCCGATCGTTCGGACATTAAAGTTCGAACAAAGACAATTAGATTGATGTCAGGTCGACATACACGTACGATTTCTCTGAGCAATGCACGCAATGGCCTCAAGTAATCCTCGCGATTCATCAGTAAATCTTGAAAGATCTCTGCAAGCAACTTTGCCGCTTGTTCGGGCAAAGTCTGAAACATTATTCCCAACATGGGCATATTGTTTGGATTGCGTGCATTCGATAATTCATTGTAGATTGTATGCTTCAGGATGGTAGCTAAATTCTCTGGATGTAATCCGATCAATTCCTTGACGCCATTCAAGTACAAGTTTATTACAGCCTTCGTCTTCAATCTCATCTTAACCAATTGACTTATGACCTCCACATCTCTTTGAGTATGAGATGTACAATTGTAGCAAATGTAAATAAGCAATTCTTGCGCGGGTCTCATCAATTTAGGATTGTGCAACCATACTTCTAGCCTCGGGACAGCGATATTTCTGATCTCAACAAAACCACACGCCGAAGAAAGCAGCTTCAAGAAATTTCTCGTTATAGTCTCAGCCTGGCGTCTATTTAGTTGCTCTTTTACGGCTTCCAGTACTATCGATTCTATATTTTCCACACAATGCGCATATCGCGGGCTTACTGGAAATTCTATTTTCTCTTTATCCCCAGACAATGATGTCGTTGATGCCGCTGGATCCTCATCATCCACTGTAGATGGGCTGGGACAATCCCTTTGCATTAATACTGGAAATTCTGGCTGTAACACAGACTTAGGTGGATGCCTCGTGTTAAAACCTGTTAGTATGTTGTCAACAAAACCCTTGCATTCCTCATGGTCAACCCATACACGTTCTCCAAGAGCATCTTCGACATATAGCTGTAAAAATAATTTAAAAAATCAATTAAAATATCCAAATTATACAATAAACAATAAAAGATTGCAAATAAATAACCTTCACAAACACTTCCGGCCAATTCTTTTTGTCGTGAAAACCTTTCATCAAGAGATTTGCAGCAAGTACAGGAACTAGTGGACTCACTTTAGTCTTATAGCTATTTTGATTATTTGAATCCCTCCTTAAAAGAGACGATAATGCATGCAGTATGCAATCGTTTGAGAAAATAGATGGGCGAATTTTTGCTAAATATAACAAGCCCATATAAAGTAAATTATCAGGCTTCCATCTCAGATTTTTCAGCGTTTTAATAGCGCCACATATTATTCCAATAACTCTATCGCCTTCGTCATTGTCATTAGCCTCAAGTGCCATAGGCACAAAGTCTGCAGGATCAGTATCTATAACTAAAACCTCCCATGCTTCCGCACTAGAGGAAGGTTGCCGTTGATGGGAGCTGACATGGGTTAACTTAGGCTTCTTCTGTGGGACATACATAAACGATGATCCAGAAGGAGCCTCTTTTTTTCGGTCATTACCTATATAATGGTTTGTATAAACAATAATTTACAATTGTGAGAGTATCACGAGAAAGAAAAAAGTTATTTACCAGAAGATGTAGAACTCCCACTAGGTTTGGAATGAATAACACCTGGTCTACTTTTAGAATCAGAGTTATCGTTCCGTGAACTCTTTGATCCTAGTGCAAATAAATCAGAAGGATGTTGAGCAATCTTATTTTTTACTGCTCTACCAAGCCCAGTCTTTCCACGCTCCATGATTAATATTTTTTCTATCTAGAATATAAAAAGCTGTACAAAATACTAAATAGGAATGGTTAAAATATTTTAATAAATAAATTTGTTATAATAAATAACGATACATAATATAATAAAAATATAATAAAAAATAACGTTCAGTTTGAGTCGATTAAGAAATACTTAAGTCATAATTTACTGGCAATATATACAAAACTAAAAGTTAAATGTTCTAACCTAAAATGTCAATGTCTAGAAATTATTTTCATAAATCCCGTCAATATCATTGGCAATAAGAATGCATCCGTATGCTGATATACATATCGTCTTTCTAGATAAAAGAATGAAATATTTATCATGTGTCTAAATGTGTCTAAATTAAGCAACTATAATTCCACACATATCAACACTGCACTGACACATCACCCGGATCATCGTGATCAATCAACATAACCAACATAATAACCACGTTATACTCTTTAAGAATCTGTTCTGCGCTATGTTACATTTTCTGCACTTGAAAAGAAATAGATATTATTAGATGTTGAGAAGAGAAAGAGGAAAAATGAAAAAGTGCAAAAAGTTCATAGACTGAATCTAGAGTACACTCAACTAGTGCAACTTGTACACACTGAGCAATTAAATGCAAATCAATTCACATATTTTTCCATTTAATATAAAATATTTTCATATTTCCTGTTTAACTCTTTTAATTACATATTTGTTATCACCAAAGAAGTTCGCGATTACCTTTAGTTTTTGAGGTTTTTGGCATCCTTACTATCCAAATTCGGTCATTCGTGTTCTGAATCAATTTTCATCATTTTTACAAGTATATATAAATTATTATAAACGATTTTTACATCTTTAGAATATTTTGACATCTTTAGGAAATATTTGTGTAGTTATATATTCATAATAAACTACAATAAAAAAGTTATTTAAGTGTCAGCTGTCCAAAAAGTTTAGTTATTGAGTAACTTGAAAATGATGTTTTTTTAACGATTTTTTTTAAATGCATGAACGGTTATACATTAAAAATATATTGCATTTATATTTTAAACAATACATTTTATTACTACTATTGTATTAAAAAAAAACTTATAATTTATTAGGAAAATGTTCTTTACAACATTACAGATAATATAATATATAATATGTAATATAGACTAACAACGTTTTGCAGGGCCAAAAATCGTAATTATTAAGGGTAATCGTAATTATTAAAACTAATGTTGTCCTTGATGAAGTAATAAAAGTAAACGCTTGTTCTTAATCGATGAGACACGAACGCCGTTGTCCCTCGCATTTCTGGGACATGGAAATTGTTCGACACAACGCCTGTTGTTTGTCGCTGCATTGCATTAAAACTTTCTATCTCGTTTTCGCCAAACTTAAAAATACATACTTATTTCATTTCAAGTACAAGTGTACACTAGTTTAGTCAGAAAAAATAGATCTAAAAAAACTAAAGAGAATAATTCTGCATGTTCTTGATGACTGAACGCTTGTCACGACTTCGCTTTCCAATCAGGGTATTGATCATGTAACTTTTTTCCTGAAAGAAACGTAAAAAGTTTTCTCCATTAACTTCGATAATAAAAATTTTCACTTTTTCCTCTAGGGAAATATTTTTATATGTATTAAAATACAATAAAATATAGGTGCAAAATTATTGCAATATATTTAGAGAAATATTGCAGATATATTGTTCCAATATTCTAATAATTAATCCAGTTTTATTAAAATATTGTACTGATTAGCACAATCCAAAATATACTTTGCAACTGTTTAAAATTCTTTGAACATGATTGGACTTATTTTTAGTCCTTGAATGTTCTTTACTAAATGTATAACTATATATAAATGTATAACTATAATCAATAATCATGTTAAAGAAGCATACAACAGTTGCAATTAAGCTGTTTTTTCTGCTGAATGCAGTCATTAAAATTACAATATAATTCACAATATTGTTGCAATATTTCCAATAAAATATTAAAATTTCAATATTACTGCAATTTTTGTAATATAATCTACTATTAAAATATTGCTGCAATATATATTTCATGCTGTAGGGGAAGTAACGCTCGTTTGACAATTGCATAACGTAGTTGTAAGGACTATTGCTGGATTTACACTAGATCCGATATGCGTCGTATGACTCTACAATCACCAATCAGAAAACAAGATTTTGCTTCGTATCATCGATATAATAAAATTCTGCTTTTTGATTGGTTGCAGAACGTCGTATGATGATCAAAGAAGAAAGAATGTTTTACTAACTTTAATCGATCGATCAAAAAATGCTTCGAAGCATTTGCAGAGTAAAGTGGATCGCATTGTATATTCTTTTAGATCTTACAATCGGCATTTTAGATCTAGAAGAATATATCAATAGCAGTGAGCGCTCATTCAACTGTTGAGTTCGCTGAACGCAGCCATTGAGCGAGTTCACGAAACGGCTAGACATACTTGTCAAGCGAATAAGCATGATTGGCAATGATGATTCTTATCTATAGTTCCAACCAATCATGTTTAATTGCTCGGCGAGCAGACCTAGCCTTTATCGATTTGAACGCGCCCATTGGTTTCCGGCTTTTCGTTAATCGAAGAAGGGCGCCATCTTTTCTCGCCGTCCTCTTTCATTTTTTCTTTCGTGTACGACGTTGTTGGAAAAATTCTGATAAGATGGGTCGTATGCACTCACATGGGTAACAATATTTATCGTATCATCGATGTAATCTCTTTAATTTTCTGCTCGCAACGCTCGCGATTTGCCAAGATACTCGGCGTCGACATAATATAAGAATATATCTTATGCTATGAGCGTTTCGGTGTGCACATCCAGTGGCCATGTGTTCGTGATTCCTGATTCTTTCCATTCGAACGATCAATTACCTTATCAGCTTTATAATTTATAATTTACGGTTGTTAAGCGATCTAATAATTCGGCTTTTTTATATGCCATGTATCTTGGTAAACCAAGCACACCTCTTTTATGAGAATATATAACCTATTACGTGTACGCATGGTGATCGCGATCGTATTATGGCGTTATTTCTCCTGTAACTGCAATGTCAGTGAAACATTTGTCAAGTACGAGTATTTAATCAAGTTACTGATGCAATGTTAATTTTTTTGTTAATCTTTAATAGTATAGTAGAAACATGTTTAATAATAAAAAACTTAATCTTTTATATCTAATATAAGACAAAGAGTCAAAGATAGGCAAAGACAAAGGGTATAAAGTATTGGATTTAATATATCCAATATATATATATATATATATATTAAAAAATAAGCCATAATGCTTATTTTTAATGTATTAATTATATTAAATTTTATAATTCTTACAATATTATATTTATCAATAACTGATCATTATTTTGTT